GAGACCCCTCTCCCTTTCCTACCTGGGCTTCCTGGCATCCCGGTCTCGCCCCAGGGCGGCCTCTTGGGACCGCTGGCCTACGGAGAATCTTTATTCCAGACGCAAGGATGCGCCCCCTTCTGGCAGATACAGCCCCAGGGCACACCGCTTAGCTAACTAACGGACCTGTCTTGGTGCAAATGCGTGAAAAACCAGCATTTTGGCCTGAATTGGAGGCAGGCAGCCCGCGGTCTCTACCGGGTCGCAGACTTGGCTATGGGCCTTGGACTGGTTTTCAGTTGCGCTCAGTGGGCACACCTTCGTGCATGGTACAGGCATAAGCAGAGGTCTGGCTTGCCCCAAAATAATTATTGAACTCCTCTGGGCTATTTCAAGCTTCCCGACCTAGCCAAGGGCTGACTCTATTTCCCCAGCCACCAGCTTCCCAGCCTCCCTCAAGTCGTGCAGGCCCTTTCCCCGTCTAACACCGGGGATTGGTCAGAAGCTTCTATGTAACCCAAGCAGCTCCACTCTGATATCCCTTTCTCCCTTCCAACTCTGCAGAAGCTTCCAGGGAAATTCAAGAACTTGTTCCGCAAATTTGAGAACCTGACGGTGAGTAGGTTTGACTCTGTCATCCGCCCTTGGACTTATACCCAGGAAACCCCTGTTTCCACAAACCTTCTTCCTGAAGCTCCCCTTTCAAGGATTTTAGTGCCTGGGACCCCCACCTTGCTGGAAGGGCAGAACGGAAAGATTGCTACCCTGTTTTCCCTGGAGGAGAGAGGAGAGCAGCCAAGTGCCCCCCTCCTCAGATACTCACAGCACCCCTATCTGATCAGGGATATAGATAAGGCAGGGGAATGAGGGAGGGAGTGGGGGCATCTTTGGGGGTACACGAGGCCTATCTGCCCCTTGACCCCTCTTCTGTGGAATGCTAGGACCCCTGCAGGAACCACAAAAGCTACCGAGAAGTGATCTCCAAAATGAAGCCCCCTGTCATTCCCTTTGTGCCGCTGATCCTCAAAGGTGAGAGAGTAGCTGCTGGGTTGTGGCTCTTCTGTCTACATCCTCCTTCTCCATGCCAGTTCTGACTTCCAGTCACCTCTTGGCTCAGCTCTGAGTACCCACCTGGAGAGGAGCACCCCTTGACAGAGTGGGTCCTGGGGAGGGAAGGGTCCTTGGGTGCAGTGCTCCCTGGGTCCGCCTCTCTTATTCTTTTTTCACTTTGGATTTTCTCTCCCCATCCAGACCTGACGTTCCTTCATGAGGGGAGTAAGACCCTTATAGATGGTTTGGTAAACATTGAGAAGCTGGTGAGTGGCACTGCCAGCCCCCGGTTCTATAAGCGAGGGACTTGCGTCCTCCCCCTCTCTCCTGTCACCTCCCTAAAAATAGCAGCCTTCCTCCGTGGTGCCCAGCTTGTCTAACAGACTCTTGACTGTCTCCCTGGTGGCATCACTGTGGCAACCCACCCACGAGTGGCAAAGCTGACAGGCAGCTTGGGGGCAACTCCACCTCCCCCTCACCTGGCACCTGTTGCAGCCCCTCCTTTGGCCCTTCAGAGACCCTCCAGAATTGGGGACTGGAGGGTGGAAAGCCAGCAAAGTTGGAGAGTGGTGGGGGGGGGACATAAAAGGGGGAGCGGAGTCGGGTGTAGTGGCTCACAACTGCAGTCCCAGGACTTTGGGAGGCCAGGGGGAGAGGATTGCCTGAGCTCTGGGGTTTGAGACCAGCCTGGGCAACATAGTGAGACCTCGTCTCTACAATAAATCCAAAAGTTATCTGGGTGTGGTGGTACGTGCCTGTAGTTCCAGCTACTTGGAAGACAGAGGGAAGGATCGCCTGAGCCCTGCAGGTGGAGGCTATGGTGGTCGTGAGCGTGCCACTGCACTCCAGCCTGGGTGACAATGAGACTCAGACTCAAAAAATAAGGGGAGGGGGCATCTTTCTGTAACCTTTTAGGACTCATTCCTTGTCATCTCCCAGCATTCAGTGGCTGAAAAAGTGAGGACAATCCGCAAATACCGGAGCCGGCCCCTTTGTGAGTACTCAATGTCTGAGAGCATTACAGGTAGATCTTTGGCTGAGCGGGAGGTTCACGGCAGAGCTCCCTGCTCAAATGTGTATTTCCATACACTTGTCAGTTCTCCGTCCTCTCCTTGGCCTCCCCAGAGGCTCTCCTGCCCAACACCTGCCTCCAACCCGCAGCCTGATTCTCTGCCCTGTGTAGAGGAAGAAGGGAGTCTGGGAAGCTGACTGCCTCTCTCCCCACTCCCACCCCAGGCCTGGACATGGAGGCGTCCCCTCATCACCTGCAGACCAAGGCCTATGTGCGCCAGTTCCAGGTCATCGACAATCAGAACCTCCTCTTCGAGCTCTCCTACAAGCTGGAGGCAAACAGTCAGTGAGGATGGAGGCTCTGCTCAGCCTCCACCAGGGTCCTTGGACACCTGGCACTCAAGCACTTTGCACGATGTCTCAACCCACATCTGACATCTTTCCTCTGGAGCAACCTCCTGCTCACGGGAAAGAGGTGGATGGACTTAATCTGGACTCCTAAGCTTGTTCATCCTGCTGAAGTCCTCTCCCCACTCCTCCTTCAATCCAAAACCATACTTTGCTGGTCCCTGTCCCTTCCAGGAAAGGGAACAGAGAGCTCCTTCCTCTGTCTCCTCCCATCGAGGTCTGTTCTAGAGATGGAGTTTCCAACCACCTCTTCCCAAGCAGGAAGGAAAGTTGCCCACCCTCCCATCTCGCGGAGCAGGATTGTGGGAGGGATTGTGCTAGGAGGCCCTTTCTACCACCTGTCTGGCTTCTCCCTGGTCAGGGCTGGGTCCCCTGGACGTGCTCCCCTGGAATATTATATTGCCGTGTGTGTGTGTGTGTGTGTGTGTGTGTGTGTGTGTGTGTGTGTGTGTCCGTCCCCTTTTAGGGAGCAGGAGTGCATCTGGTAACAGGGAGGGTGTTATGTGTGCTGGAGGGGCGGTCCTTCTGTTTGGTGCTACCCTTGTCTACTCGGCCCTGGGATAGTGCAGGGTGGCTTCCCTGCCCCCAGCACTCCCTGCTCAGGTCCTCGTGCTGCCCTGCATGTTCAGGCTTGTGGGCCAAGCTGCTTCTAAGGGCTGAGAGCAGCAGCAGGCAGGAGGGGTTACCCATCAGCCCTTGAAAGTCTCTCAGTCAGGCCTCCAGAGGGTCCCACCGGCTCTGAGGAGAGGGTGAAAGGTGCTCAGGGAAACCCAGGCCCAAGCTGCCCGCGGGACCTGGCTCCTCCCCCTGCCTTGCAGTGGGGTGGGGTACAGCAGTGTCAGGAGTCAGGGTGCCTGCTGCCTGTACGCCTGCTTTTTGAGGTGTCTCACTGCTAAGGAGGGACTTGGCAGCCCCCTTCTGGCTCTTGTGTCTGACCTCAGCACGATCTCTGTTTCCTTCTCCGTCTTGAGTCCCCCTTTGTCCTCCCCATAGAGTGGGCAGGGGTGGATCCCTGTACCTGGGGCAGGCAGCTCCCCAAAAGTGGGGGAGGGGAGGGGTGATAGAGACTGTCGAGGCGAAACTGGACTCTGGTGAGGCCTTTCTTACCTCTCTGCTCCCCTCCCTCTCCCACCACGGGCCTCCAGGGCTGAGGGGTGCAGGGGCTCCTGGCAGCTACCGGGTGAGGTTTCCTGGCGCGCCTCACCCTCCCTTCTGGCACCACCTATCTCCCTGTTGAAGAGGCAGCAGCAGCACAAGCAATGGCTCCGGCTCTGAGGGTGTACATATTTTTTACCCAAAGCTCTGGAATTGTACATTTATTTTTTAAAACTCTAAGAGGGAAAGAGCCTTGTATCATATGTAAACACTGTATCATAGGTCATGTTGTACAGTCCCTTTTATATAGCGGTCTGTCTCTGGTTCCTGCTGCAAAGTAATGTCTGTGGACACACGCAGGCACTGTGTCCCACCCACTCTGCCCTGTCGGTGACCATGGCCCGGCTCCTCCCTGCCTCCTCTTCCCTGCTACTGCTGATGTGCCCTCCTCTCCACAACACGTCCTCCCTACCACTCCCAGCAGGCTTTTCACTCCAGCCCCCACCGCCTGCCTTGAACCCTGGGACCCACCGGCCCAATCTCAGCTGCTGCTCACGACTGGCCTTTTGCCGTCCCAGGGCCCCGCAGCCCCCTCCTCATGCCCGAAGCTTTAACAACGTGAACCCTGTGTATTGTACATGCTCGGTTGTCATTGCAGAAACCGCTGGGTGGAGAAAAAAATCGATAAAGTCTATGAATCAGCCCGCCTGCTGTTGCTTTGGGGAAGGGGAAGGGCTGAGGGAGGGGAGAGGGGACAGCCTCCCAGAGCTCTCCGGCCTCAGCATGGCTGTTGTGGAGTGACTTTGGAAATGTGAGCGAATTAATTCAGCAAACGACCCTGCACTCTTAAGACAGCTAGTAGTTATCAACTGATTTCGAATCACAAGTTTTCCTTTAAGGTCATGTGTAGAAGTTAGTTTCATTCTGCCCTATTTTTGCCCACCATAAAAAATATTCTTTTTACAAACTGCCTAAAATTGAACTTATTTATGTCCTGGGAAAGGCATATCCAGATAAATGTTTGTACAAGTTATGGAGAGAATTAGATTACCCTAGTGACAATGTAAAAAAAAAGCAAATCAAATTACCACCCCCACAACCAATCAAAAGACAGTCGGAAACACCACTGACCTCTAGGGTGGAAACAGCCTTCTTAGGCCCTTCAGAAAAAGCCTCTCTTAAAAAAAAAAAAAAAAAAA